TAATTGTAACAAAATGTTTCTTTATTAAATACTTTCTAAAAGTATTTAAATGTTAAAACTTACCTGGAAAAAAATGTGAAGTTCCTCGTCCAACTCCTGAGATGCAGCTTTCGTTCCAATTTCGAGCGGAGACAGTTTGTCCTACTGGGGCACCGGTAAGAAAAGACCGGTCCATCTTCCTTGGGATTGGTTGTTGTCGTGGTTACGCTTTGTTTGGAGTCTCTGCGCGCTGTCTTCCAACCCAGCCGAGGGATTTAGTCGCTCGTGGGTGAGCCGGAGCCCCTCAAAGCTGGGGTAGGTGGCGCGGGAGGCGACACAGAGCTGTGGGAGCGGGGAGCGCAAACGGAGGCGGGCTCCTCTCCGCCGAGGCCAGGCTTTAGGACAAACGGTGGGGCCCGCGGGCTGAAGGGGTGGCTGAGCGAGTCTAGGCTCTCTTAGATTTTGGAGATTTCGTGGCTCACTCAAAACTTGAAGATCCACCGTAACGATCTAGGGAGATTTCTATAATTACCTTTCTTCCCCCTCCCTAAACGACACTTCCTTTCTTCCCTCCTTCCTTTCCTTTCCTTTCCTTTCCTTTCCTTTCCTTTCCTTTCCTTTCCTTTCCTTTCCTTTCCTTTCCTTTCCTTTCCTTTCCTTTCCTTTTTTCCTTCATAATTTGTAGTTGCCTTTTAAAGTAGATTTCCCTCCCTTATCTTTATAGTCGAAGAACAATAGTTGAAAGTGGAGTTCCTTAAGATTTCCCATCTTTGGCAGCTTTAAGTAGTTTACTGTAGCCCATTTACAGTGGGATACATCTAAGGCTGCACTGTCCCATCCTGTCACCACCAGTGGCCGCTGTGGGCTTGAAAGGTCTTGAATTGAATTGAGATGGACTGTAGGTGTAAAACACCCAGCACATTTTGAAGAATTAGCATACAAAACAAAAATATAAACTTTTTACATTGATCTTAATAATTAATTTTTTTACTGACTACATGTTGAAATAATATTTTAGATATATTGGGTTAAATAAAATGTTATTAAAACTAATTTCACCTGTTTCTCTTTACTTTTTAAAAAGTTGCTACTAGACAATTTAAAATCACGTATGTGCTTGGATATGTAATTGGGCAGGCCGATCTAAACGTCCAGGAGATGAGCAGAGAGGGACATATAATGGAAAAGTCTCTTACCTTTGCCCTATTCTACTTCTTTTCTTTCTACATAAAGTTTTGTGTACCTGTGCATTCTGCTTTATAACTATGTTTTTTTTTTTAAATCTAATTTTCCATCTAACAAATATTTTGAATTGCACTTTAAGTGAGTTTGATAACAAGATAGCATTTTACACTGGTTCTGTTTTTTGTTTTGTTTTCCTTTGGAGGAGGGAGATTATGGGTAAAATTGAGTATATTAAAATGAGCTTTTAGAATTACAAAAGGAGTACCTACTCATGATTTTAAAAATCACTCAACATAAAGGTATGAAATGTAAATTGAAAGTTCCTCAAATTCTTCTAGAAAGTTTCTGTGTTAAAAAAAAAATGTGTGAATGTGTGTATAGTTACACAAAAGAGATATTACTTTACATATTTTTTGGCCATGTGCCTCTTTTCGATTTCTTCCTTGTTACCTTTCCACAGGAGCATAGTAAATATACATATTTTTAAAAGGACTTGTATAGTATTCCATTCTATGAATCCATCATAATCTACTTAACTGTTTTCTTAGTGAGTATTTAGGAGTTTTTAATTACAATGTTTTATTGAGATAATTGTAGATTAACACCTAGTTTTAAGAAATAATGCAGAAATATCCCTTGTACACTCCTCATGGTAACATTTTTAAAACAAATTTTACTTTTTTTAAAACGTTTCTTTATTTATGTTGAAAGAGAGAGAGAGAAAGACAGAGAACGAACATGTGCCCAAGCAAAAGAAGGGCAGAGAGAGAGGGAGAGAGAGAATCCCAAGCAGGCTCTGTGCTGTCAGCAGAGCCTGACACGGGGCTCGAACTCAGGAAACATGAGATCATGACCTGAGCTGAAATCGAGAGTTAGACACTTAACTGATTGAGGCACGCAGATGTCCCCAGTGGTAACATTTTGTAATGATAGTCTGATATCAGAATATTAATATTGACACAGTCTGCTAATCTTACTCAGTTTTCCTCAGTTTTCCTTGTACTCATTTGTGTGTATGATATATAATTTTTATCATCTGAATATACTCACTTATCTATTACTACAATCAAGATACTGAGCAGCTCCAGTGCTACAAGGATCTTTCATGTTGCCCTTTCATGACCATAGCCACCTTCCTCCAACTCCTTCCACCCCTTACTCCTGGGAATCACTAATCTTTCCTCCACTTATAAAATTTTGTCATTTCAAAATGTTACATAAGTGGAATCATATAGTATGTTACCTTTTGGTTTGGGCTTTTGCTCAACATAGTTCCCTAGAAATTCAAGGAGATTTATCAATATGGTGACGTGTAGTAAAATCTATTCGTTTTATTTCTGAGTAGTATTGAATGGTATGGATGTGCTAGAATTGGTTTAACCATTCATCTACTGAGGGACATTTTGCTTGTTTCCAGTTTGAGGCTATTATGAATAAAACCATCGTGAACATTCATGTACAAGTTTTAGTGTGTGAAAATAAATTTTTATTTCTCTGGAATAAATGCCCAATAGTATAGGCAATAAGTGAAGATCAGTCCAATTAAATCATTTGTATGTGAAAGAAAGATATGTAATATGTATAGCTATAGGACAGGCAGGCACAGGTTGTTTGTTTGATTTTTGGATGGGAGTGAACTGATTGTGTTTATGTGTAGAAGAGAGGCAAGTGGAATAAAAATGTATGGCGAGGCAATAAACAGAAAAAATAGTGGATGGAACACAGTTCAATATGTGAGAAATTGTCAGATTCAAAGCATAGGTACAAGATTATACTTTATTAGGAAGGGGTTCCTCTCCAAGTAAGATGAATATGAAAAGATTTCAGGAAAAGAAATAGGAAAATGAGGATGTTTCATTTTCTTTGTTAACTAGATCATAAACTATGAACACAGGATACTGTCTTATTTAATCAATGTATTTCTATCCCTAGTAGTGATGTTAATGTACCTTGTAGGCTCCCAAAAACTTGATTTTGAGATGAGTAAAAGAAGGAAAAGAGGAGGGAAGGAAGGAAGGAAAGAAGGAAGGAAAGAAAGAAGGAAGAAAGGAAGAAGAGTCAAGAACACAGCACTGGAAAGGCCAGGGACCCGAGGAAAGAATTAAAGTTTGGAATAGTCTGGAAAACAAAATACTAGTACAGAATTTTTCAAACTTTTTTTTCTTAAACCAAGACCCACAGTAAAACAAATACACAACTACACTGCAGCTCATGTACACATGCATACATATATACCCATTTACAAGTGAAACAAAAGTTTTAAAAACTATTTTTATCTTTAACATATATAGTTAACTTATAGTTTCTTTTATGACCTACCCTAATGTTTCCTATCCTATTCCATCATTAAAACTTTATGATCAAGAGCCACTGAATTAATTTCTGGATTCATGAATTATCATCTGAAATTTGTGTCTGGTGTAAGAAAGTGGTCCAGGTTCATTCTTCTGCATGTTTTTGTACAGTTTTCCCAGCACCACTTGCTGAAGAGACTGTCTTTATTCCATTGGATATTCTTTCCTGCTTTGTCAAAGATTAGTTGGTCATATGTTTGTGGGTCCATTTTTGGGTTCTCTATTGTGTTCCATTGATTTGAGTGTCTGTTTTTGTGGCATATCATCTGAAATTTGAAGATTGTTGGATTAAGAGATGTTAAGAAAGATTGCTGCGCAGATGAAGAGCTTGACTAAGTTTGTAGGACATGTTGTAGTGGGAAGAGTCCTGGCTTTGTATCTCTCAATTAGGTTCCTTTTTCCATTGCTTATTAGCATAATGACTATGCACAGTTAAGTAAATTCTTCAAACCTTGGTTTTCTTATTAATACAATGACTATAATGACCTTAATCCTGTTAATTTACTCTGATAACTATTAATCACACAAGTGTCTTCTAGTGCCTGGCTTGTCACAGATACTCAACACGTGGAAGCTAATGCTGGTTGATGATGTGATGATTATGTGAAGATATACTGTAATGTATTGCTTGATCCATAGCCATTATAATCATTAAAGATTTAAATAGAATAAGTATTGATCTTATATACTATCCATATATCCATATGGATATCCATATATTGTCCATTATTATAACATCCATTATCCATTATGGATATCCGTATATTATCCATTATTATAACATGTTGTTGTTGTTAAAAACAGATGACTATCTATAGTAAAATTGACAACTATGAGTTAATGAGTAGAAAATAACCATATATTGCCCCATGTATAGACTTGAGTTGTTCTCTTTTGAGTATTCTAATCTTCGTATATTCGAGCTGTTCAGAGGTATTTTTCCCTTAATTATACCCATGAGGATGAATTTTACTGTGATGTTTCTTGGTTCAGGAAGCTAAGACAGTCCATTCCACGTGACTTTTCCCTTACAGAATTAAGAGATTAGTATTAGAGTTGATCATTTTGTAGTCACACATTAAAAAAATAATGAATTAATGGAGAGAGAAAACAATGTTTTCTAACATATGGTACAACCATAATAAGATATGATAAAAGTTTCCTAGATGAAAACATGTTTACATAGAACATTGGTATGACACATTAAACAACCCATAGTTTTTACTCATTTTAGCTACTTCAATTCTCTTTTTTTAAATTATTTATTTATTTTGAGAGACAGAGAGAGAGACAGAGAGACAGAGAGAGAGGGAGAGAGAGAATCCCAACAGGCTTCATGCTGTCAGCAAGAAGCCCAATGCAGGGCTCGATACCACAACCCTGGGATCATGACCTAAGCAGAAATAGTCAGACCCTTAACTGACTGAGCCACCCAGGCACCTCTCAATTCTCCTTAAATGGTTTTGTGTTTTATTATGAAAGATGATGGAAAACAACAATGATGATGAAGCAAAGCTGGAAGAAGAAATAGAAGCTGAATTGGATAAAATCAGCATTTCTTCATTGGAAAAAGATGATGATAGTGATTCAAAATCAGAAACCCAGAGTGTTGATAGTGATACAGTAAGTGTTAAATACTGGACTTTTAGGAGCCTTTTTTTTTTTTTTTTTTTTTTTTTTAAATTTTTTTTTTCAACGTTTATTTATTTTTTTGGGGACAGAGAGAGACAGAGCATGAACAGGGGAGGGGCAGAGAGAGAGGGAGACACAGAATCGGAAACAGGCTCCAGGCTCCGAGCCATCAGCCCAGAGCCCGATGCGGGGCTCGAACTCACGGACCGCGAGATCGTGACCTGGCTGAAGTCGGACGCTTAACCGACTGCGCCACCCAGGCGCCCCTAGGAGCCTTTTAAGTGGAGTAAACTTTTCAGGAGAAATATTACTTTTCTCAGTGTGTTTTACATAGTTATATAATGTTTTAACTTATGATCCCTTTTAAACAATGTGTATTGTTAGATATTTTAATATAAAAATGAAAATAGAAATCACATATAATTTCATATGCATATGTGTGGGTTTTTTTGCAAAATTGGGATTATATTATACATATAATTATTTATATCCTGCTTTTTTTTACTTCCTCATGAGTGTCTTAATGTTATTAGATATACATGAAAAACAAAATTTATGTAAACTCTTTAGATCTATAGAAATAGTTATTTTTTTGGAAATCAAATATATCTTCTTTTCATTTGTGCATTTTCCCCAGTGTTTATATGCTTAGAAAATTTATTCACAGATTAATTCTTTTACATCAAAATCCTTAATCTAATGGGAATTTATTTTCAATTATGTTATAAAATGTAGATCTAGCTAGAAATTTTCCTGCATGTATTTAGTTAATATTATTTATTTATT